AAACGTCGCTGGACCAGATATTTATGGGAATCATTTTTCGATGCAATTTTCCTGGCCAACGTGTCATTATACGTTTAAATTTCAAAAGCCGTTCGGTTGTATTTTTTTCTTGGAACGCGTTTATCAGCGTATACGCCCAACGGCACAAACAAAATGGTTAAAAGTTACTTTTTTTCCTAATCAAATATAATTATATTTATTTAATGGAAATATTAAATTTGATATCAATGAGTTCGAGCAAACAACACAAAAGAATTATTTTGAGATTTCGTCTCTGTTAATATGTTTTCCTAGTTTTCCTTTGTTTACATCTTTCCATTGTTTTCCGAATAATCTGATCTCTGTAATTATGAAATTTCATATTAGGGTACTCCAATAAATATTACACGGTTTCAGTAAATTTGCTTTTCCTGTATCAATTACTATTGGAAATAGGTGGTGGAATAAAAATAAAACATACAGCTTAAATATTTTTTAAATTAAACTTTGTCTTGATTTGAAACACTTGGCACGTCTGTTCAGTTCGGAAGAAACTGCCAGAATGAAGAAAGGTCAGTGACGAAAAACTCGTCACGTACCCACAGACCCAATTGGTCCTATTCATTGTCTAAATAAGCCAAGGAAGGGACACGGCTGCACCCTCTTGACTTGCGTCTCGAAAAATGAAACGCAACACGCACGTCGATGGTTTTTGTAATTGAAAGAAAATTTCCTCTTTTTGAATGAGACAAACCAACAATTACGAAAATATATCTCGCGTTTGTTTCCAATATTTTAAAAAGTAGATATGACATAGTCAAAAATTTGATGCTGTCGTTGCAAAGGAAACGATGGATTCCATCCCGTAACGAAAATTCAGATTAATCTTGATCCGACATCTTTTTTAGCGGGAAATGATTTAGTCGTGGAGACAATATTGAACGCAGATATTTAGTTTTTTTTTATATTCAAAGAATGAAAGTACAATTGTTTTCAGAATCATGACAGAAAAATATAGACCATCATGCTTGAAATGCTTTACTGTCGTAGTTATGATTTAACGCTATAAAATTTTGACACGTCCAATATTTCCTGGAATATCCTAATATACATTCTTAGTTTTTCGACGGACGTTTTTTTCATCGTTTACGACTCGCAACATACGTAGTTGATGAGAGCAGCGTGCCTTCGAGCAGTTTAAAAGCAGCTGTAACTCGCGCTTACGTTTCTGAGGGCGACGTGCAGTCACGTGACGTGACAGTAACATGTTTCCGCCTTTATTCTCAAGTGGATCTACAAAAACTTCGTTTTTATTCGAGTTATTAAAAAAATAAACAATTTTTGTTTCTCCTAAATAGTTACGCTTCGCATAAAGTATTTTTAGTCTGTGACGAAATATAGCTTTGGGAAATGCTTGCAGTAATGAGTTTTGAATGTTTTATAAGCACAATTTTGTTTCTTAATAGTTTCTTCTATTTATTTTACGAAAAATTTTCTATCTTGACAAAGGTTAATAACAATTTATCTTTCATCTATCGTTGTTTCTTTTATTTGAGAATTTATCTACAATAATTTGTGGACACATCTTTCTTAATAGTTTCTTAATATTCTATTTATTTTCCGAAAAATGTTCTATCTTGACAAAGATTAATAACAATTTATCTTTCATCTATCGTTGTTTCTTTTATTTCAGAATTCATCTACAATAATTTGTGAACACATCTTCCTGAGCCTGACGAAAAATGACGCAAACCGCCTTCAGTATGAATGAGTAAATAACAACATTTTGGTTCAAATACTATTTCAGGACTTTTCACAGATTTACATTTATTTTAATGTCACGCGACAAAGCAAATGCCCAATATGTCTTCGTCAATCGATTGGAAGACAACCAAAACTAGAAATCTATATCAAATGGAATGCAATATAAAATGTAAATTATTTTTACTACGACTGCACCTCGATATTATAAGGCAAAGTTTTAATGGGAACATTCTCTGGTGCATGAATACCTTTTTACTTCCTAATTTCTGCACATCTTACAGATTTTGATATTTTGTCCATCTTCCCCTATTTTTCTGTATCTCATCTGGAACCTACAGAAATTATTTTGAAATGATCGATGCTTCAATTCGACGACTGTGTCCTGTGAGGAATAGGTGTTTCATATACATTATTTTCGTAATCAAAAAGTGCGCATATAATTGCAGACTAATCCATTCAAAGAAAATCGTAAGTTCTCAGGTCAAACCCGGATGAAAATCGACAAATAAAATGCGTCCTTCATTTTCTCTTCGACAAATCCCATATTGGACAGTCACCCAAGAACACCTTCGAAGCGATCCGATCGTAAAACATTAACTAATTTACGCAGTATTGCGTAACGATAAAATTAAGATTGTCGTCCCATTCTCTGGTGCATGAGTACATTTTTGCACATCTTACAGATTTTGATATTTTGTCCATCTTCCCCTATTTTCCTGTATCTCATCTGGAACCAACAGAAATTATTTTGAAATGATCGATGCTTTAATTCGACGACTATGTCCTGTGAGGATTAGGTGTCTCATATATATTATTTTCGTAATCAAAAAGTGCGCATATAATTGCAGACTAATCCATTCAAAGAAAATCGTAAGTTCTCAGGTCAAATCCGGATGAAAATCGACAAATAAAATGCGTCCTTCATTTTCTCTTCGACAAACCCCATATTGGACAGTCACCCAAGAACACCTTCGAAGCGATCCGATCGTAAAACATTAACTAATTTACGCAGTATTGCGTAACGGTAAAATTACGATCATCTTCCCATAAAAACGTATTATCAATTTCACAACCCGTTAGCGTCGAAGAAGCTAAGAAACGATCCGCACGCCTTACGTAAGAATTCTCGCTCGGTTATCCGGCGGTCATCGCATTGTGTGTTGGCTGCTCTAATAAAAACGGACCTTCCCGAAAATGGTTTTGCCAGAATGCGAAATGTTCCGTTGGTATATCGCGCCCTTTATTAAAACAAGAGGGGCGGGGGATACCCGACGCGGTCCGAGTCGCTGTCTGCTCGCGGCTCGTCGATCCTTTGAAAATTCTCCGTGCACGCACGGTGCCTGCGCCGCAACGATTATAGCGACTCATTAGCCGCGCCAGTAAATCATAGTGATCTCCGCGCGGTGTGCGCGTCGGAGAAAGCGAGAGGAAAAGGCAAGGCTCGCATTCGTAGAAAACAGACAGAAAGCAAAGGTAAACGCGGTTCCAGCGACGAGAACCGAATGCTGCGTCGGATAGAGACGGACACAGCGAGCGTGCCCGACGCTGGCCGAGCGTTCGCGAAGATAGCCGAAGCGACTCGCGGCGGTTCTTCGCGGTACTCGATGGTTTCAGTACCGAGCCGCCACGGGTTAGGACTCGACGTGGCTTTATTGTGCGGGGGGTTTGTTGTCGGTTGGATTTCGATCGTAATCACGGTGCTCCGAACGATCTATGAATTAAAATCAAATCGTAATAGCGTCGTTTCTTTTTATGCGATTTGTTACTTATCGCTATACGTGTTCTCCGATCGATGATCCGTCCGTTACGATCGATCACCAGTGCGGGCTGAAATGATAGAGGATCCTCCAGTTTCGGGGGATGCGCGTCGTATCGTGGTGAATACGCTTGACAAGGTGTTAAGGCTTGACAGTCGGTTAATCGTGCGTGACTCGGTTCGCGGATCCCGAGAGCGGCCACACACGTGCTTGCGGCTTGGTGCACGCGAATGCAATCGAACCGCTATCCTCCCCTGACTTGGCGAGAGAAAAAAGTGGAATTCCGTGTCGTTGAATAATTTACCGAGAGTGCATGCGTCTTAGCCGCCGTTGGTGGCGGACTGGAAAATAATTACGATACCGGGCCTAATCACGTTGACTGATTAACGTCGACACGCGAAAATTTAATCACTTCGACCGGTGGTCCACCGCGGATGATCATTCTGCGTATCCTTCGGTGCATGCTCCCCCGGAGGAGCGAGTAACGAGTCGTGAGATAGGGTCAAACCGGTAAGTTCATTCGGAACTAGTGGTGCAGTAAACTGGAGCTCTGTTCGGAGCGTTGCTTGTGGCCGAGTAAAGTTCGAACGGGTGCAACGTCCACCCCAAGGAGGCGTGCGTTTTCTACTGAAAAATATCGGATGTTCAACGTCACCCCGTTCAGAGGGCAGTTTGTCAATCGTATCCGTAAGAAGTCAGTGTTCTCTTGCGTGTGCAACAACGTTCGTCGGTGTCTCGTCATTCTTGTACTAGTCGTGACCCAACACGGATCAATTGTCATTGATGTTGGACTCGAGTAGGACGCGTGTGTTGTAATTTCCAAAGTGTTTCACCGTCTGTATCGCACAATCGTCCCAAACAATTAACCGCCGAGGTGTGAACGTACACGCTTGGATCGAGTGTCTGTGTTAACGCCAATCGCTAGAAATAATCGCAGGGCGAAGTACCTGGAGTCCATCTCCGGAAAGTGCTTTCTTTCACGATTAATCTCGCGTAACGGGATTAATTGAGGTACCGTCGACAGTCCTCTCACCTGACGTCGTAATTAGAACGAGCCTCAGGAGGTGCTCGCGATCGACGCAAGGATTGGGGCATCGAATCGTCGAAAGCAGCCGCGCTGCCAACCGGTGGGACGATTATCGTTGAATCGTCTAGGAGCAGTTAAAGCGATCAGGTAGCAAGTGGTCGTTCCCGAAACGACGATATCACCGGGTAGGACACAGAAGCGGCGAAACGATGTCGACGACGGCGCAATGCAGTACCGCCAGCGGCAGCAACATCGGCAACAGCAACAACAACAACACCGACTGCATCGGCAGCAGCATCACCGGCTGCAATTAGTGCCGGTTCACGACGGTCGTAAGTCTAGGTAACCGCTGAAAGAGCGACGGCAGGGGGTTGGGTCGGTCGAGGCAACGTCGAGGGTTAGACGGTGTGTGCAGTGCGCGAAAGGGAGACAAAATGTGGTGGAGGTGCCAGTGGAGTGTCGCAACTACGACCATGGTGTTCGTGCTGGGGATTGCCACGGTGTATTCGCAGGTGGAGTTATCTGATCTGGATAAGCCAAGTGAGTTGTACACAGTTATTATTATTTACGTTGGATTCCACGGCGGAGCGAGGGATTTAACGAGCACGGGCGTCCGGAATTTTTCCCAAAAATTTGAATAAAATAGCGCACAAAATGCCCCAACGGAGATAAAAGAGAATAGTTTACTCACTTAGGGGTTACATTTTTATTCGAAGCGCAATTTCTGGGGTGATCGGTTCGATGATTTAGCACTAGATTTACGGACATTGATTGCACATATTTTTATCGAAACTCGTTACGTTGACGGTTATATTTAAATGCGGGTTTTCTTTTAATCGAGACATTCAGGGTGTTTGAAGAGTGAGGTCTGAGATTTGGTTGGTTTGTAGTAATGATCACGAGGAGTGAAACATGCTTAACGCGGAATAAAAATAAAGTAAGTAAATAAATTAATCAAACCTTTGTCGATATAAATAATACTCTTGTGATGGCAACGTAGAACTAATGTACTTTTGAGACAATTTTTTTATTTAGTTATAATGTATCGCGAAACAACTGACGGTCTTGAATGTTCTTAGGATATTCAAAGGATTGGTTTCAACTTTACTTCGCTCGATGAATACTATAAGCCTTTCGAATCTTGGCTCTTACTTTTAAACACCTCGTATATTCATATCACTGCATCAATTAAATTCAACATGAATTGCTAATAAATAGTATTTATGAATTATGAAACTTTAAATATGGAATCTGAAATCTATCGAATTGATGGTTTTTGTAAATATAGTGTTAATATAAAAAGAAGTAGATCCAGTTTTCATGAAAATAAACAGCAACTGTCTTGAAATTAAGTCACTTGGAAAGTTATTGATTATTTTCTATGGTGTGTTAAAAAACTTGCTCATGGTTGTCACAATTAGGATTGTTTTATTCCCCTTAAACACGTTATACCATTAAAATCGTAGTTTATATTGGCGTGAATACCACAATTTTGACAAAATGGTGGTTTTTTGAAGCCAAGGCATCGATTTCTTCAGGAATTAAACAAAATATCTATAAATATTTATTAAATAAAAATTAAACTGTTTTCGAGTAATGGTTTGAACGTAACGTTTACTTTTTATTTTCAAATAGGCGTAAGTATGTCCATGTAACAGAAAATACGAAATTATAGACTCGTTCATTTTTTCCCGGTCAATTACTTATAAGTTCAGATTGACGCAACATTTTTAGCAGAAATAAAATAATTTAGGTAATCGATGTTCTCCGATCGCTGTCAGAATATAATTCTATCGATACTTGAATAGTATTGATTACCGATAGTCATACTTCGGACGAAATTAATACGAAATATTACGCTTCAAAAAGTAATTTCGATGGCAATACTGGTAATCGGAGTGTGCATAATTATACAATTAATGTAATTTTAGATTTGTTAGACTCGAAAGTAGTTTTCCTCAAATACTCCCTTTTCTATAAAAATTTATGTGATGTGCGTCACAAAATTTTCTCTTTCGAACGTCATAAAATAAAAAATGAATGGTCAATCGTTTTTCAACTGTCAAATAACTATTTGATTGAAACGCGCGGCAATTGTGCCGATATTTTCGACACCTCGGTCATTCTTTCAATTTTTTAACAATTTCGTCAAACGCCGTGCGTCGATGGACTTACTGTCGGGACTGAAAAAACGAAAAATACATTTTTGAATTCGTATTCACGAACAATTGAAAGTGGCACCTTTTATCTTCCCACATGTTTACGCGTTCGATTGAACCTTCGAGCAACAATATAGCGAATCCATTTTATTTGTTCTCTGATTCCATTCACTGTATTGTCAAATTCTACTCCTTTAATTAAATGTGCAATTTAAAATGTATTGAAAATATTTACTCGAACCGGACGATTAATAAATTGAAAAGCCGTAGTTTTGTTGAGCAAATCAAATGTATTGAACACTTTCGGTGACTAGATTTGTCACAGTCTTCAGAAATATTAGATATGTCAACACCAAATAACAAAAACATTAATAATGTGTAAAATATTATATTTTATAGGAATTAAATTGGACTTGTATTATTATGTGGATCGCCAATGTTTTTTATATAATAATTATATGTATAGAAAATTTAAAAAACTGTATATAAATCAATTATATTGCAAAAATTATATATACAGTAGAACCCTAACATAGAGTTCGATTTGAAAATCAACAGAAGTCTGTTCTTTCTAGGAAAGTAAAAGTAACAAGAATTTATATCAGTAAAAGTAGAAGAATTTCTTTCAGAAAATTATCTGAAGAGGACAGATCCATAATTTTAAACTGAAAAAGTGTTTTTCTTTTTGCACAAGTAAATAAAATTGAATATATTATTCAGAACGAAGATGGTGATAAATCTAGCCATAAAAAACGTTCGATGCATTTTTGTTCGACAAGTCTATAGTTATTCAATTTATGAATCAATAGCTAGCAGACAACCCAGTATTCTTGAGGTGATTGATAATCTACACATACAGCATAAATTAAATGTTCCATACAAATTGTATTAAGAATACAGCATCTTTAAATTTAATTATCTTAAGAAGTCTATAATTATTTTGTCCCGACAGTGATAGGGGACCAGAAAGGTTGACCCTTTGCGGTTAAAGGTTAAACCTTTTTCGATTTTTCGTTCCAGCTAGACCACACGTATTTAACTACTTTCACCTATATGGTTTACTACAGGGTTATCTTACAAATTTCTATCTAAGAAATCATTAAAGAAAGGTTAGGAATAATAATCATATAGTCTCAAAACAAAAGAATGATTAAAATCATCGATTTGTAATATTTAGGCTACAAATAATCATGGTTTTCATTGTCGATAACCAACGAATGAATAAATCTTTGGCTGTGTGTTGTGATTTATGTTTTATTATTGCCAATACTACAACTTTTGGTTCAAATTATTGATAAACAATAACGTAAAACGAATCGATTTAGTGAAAATGTTATGAAATAAACATTCTTCGTCGATAATTGTTACGAGTGACTGAAATAAATATTCTTCGTCGATAATTGTTACGAACGACCGAAATAAATTTCTCTTGTCGATAATGGTTAACGATAATGAATAAGAATTTCGGTCACTTATAATCGTTATTTGTCACTAAAAACATTTTAACTGAGAAAATAGTTATTACTGCGTAATTTTTGTTTTTTTGATTATAACAGTTCCAGTTTCTGGTTTATTAATATTTTACTATTTAAAAATACACTCATAAAAGTAATATGAATACTTATCTTCAGTAAAATAAAAGTACACAAAAGAATGTTTCATCCTCGTTCATAATTTATGATTCTTCATAGGATTGCAGGTGCGTAGATATTTTTCTAAATAATTTCTCAAGGTTTCTCTCACGCATTTTATGTACCTAACGAGTTTCATATCTCTCACCCTGGCGTTTTACGATTGAAACATGTTACACAATCTTCATACTTCAGCTTCGTATGAGGAGTAATTATCTGTAATTTTCTATTCGAACGTTGTTCCCTATAAACAAAAGTACTTATTTCCTCTACGATTCGCTGTTGCAAACTGTAGTTAATTTCACCAGAAATTTTTGTTGAAATTTGGTATTACTCAATATCATCTTTTACACATTGTTCATGTAAAGTCTTCACATTCTGCTAAACTTCCATTTAAAATTTTTTCAGAATAGTAATTTTAAAAATTCAATAATAAATATCAAGAAAGTAAAAATTCAAATAGAAGAATAATGCAGTCTGACACAAGCGTAGATTTAAATATATTTTAAACATTTCTGTATCTGTCATTCTCTAATAAAAATAAAATTGTCAATTTTTATCGGTGCACCTTCACTAGAGTATTATTAATGAATCATTGAAGTTTCCCCAGAGAAAATGAGTACAAACGCGACATTATTCGATCTATTTTGAATTATGTGTTACTGAATTACTTTTGAAAATTTTCAGTTCATGTGTAATTAAAAATAATTCGAACGAGATCGTGCTCGAATTTATTTTCCCCGAGAAAATCTTATTCTCTTAAAAAATCTCGAAAATCTTAAAAATTATAATTTTCATTAGCAAATAAAATTTGATTTCGCGTACCATCCAAGTTGAGGAGTTACTAGCTTTCAACAAACATAAACATTGCTAGGGATAATTTCATTCCATTCAGCCAGGAAAAAAATACAGTATTTTATGTAACTGGAAATTGTTGTATAAACATGGTAAAAACATAAAAGATTTTTATAAGTGGACTGTGGATGCATATTTTTCATTATTTCGTCATTAAGAGGATTTAAAAATGTATTTTTTATTTTTCATAAAGCACGTATAAATCCTCCTTTCTTCTTCGTTTTGTTTTAATATGAAGTATAATTTGTTACTATACGTTATTAAAGATACTTTATGCTCACAACTATCTTTCAGTGCGTATTATGTTTGAATAAACATCTGCAGTCCGTTCATAAGATAATATATCTACTTAGGATCAATACTGCAACTGTTGTAAATTCCTGTTTCAAAACAGACTCGATATCGGACTTGTTACAACGAAATGCGATGTTAATTACGATCCTACATAGGATTGCGGAGTGTTTGAATTGTTCACCCTTACTCTGCATCGTTTTTCTGTGGAGAATGCGACTTAATTCGTCTTCAGACAACGAAATATGGCATGTAGATTTTATTACATACTTGCGTGCGTAAAAGTAAGATTTATTGCGTTGCGAAACGACTTGGCGAGGTTGCATTCCGGTGGGAAACAGTTATTTCTTTTATTGGAATGAATTTCGCATTGCATTTAACTATGCGTGCATTATGGGATAGTTACGTCGTTATGTAATTAGAGGGTGACAATGTCTTTGTTGTTCATAACAAGCACGAAGAGCAACGCAGAATATAAATTATACGTAATGCAGTATTTTTACATCGATAAAGTGGTGGAATAAAGTGAATACATTAAAAATTTCTTGGAATTTCTTGAAGAGTTCATAATTGCTCTCATCGTGGAAATGTCATATTAACAATC